ACACTAACCAGCTTCGCTTCGCTGAGGGCATGCTACAGCAAAGGACTCAGCAAGTAGCTGGAAGGAACTACGGAAAACCCGCAATCAATCAACGCGATCGCAGGAGCGCCCGAAAAGCGGCTGCAGACAAGAGTATCCCATACTGTGATGAGATATGAGACGAAGGGTGCGCCATGTTGTGATAAGACGCGGGAAGCTCCACGGACACATTATCTCTATCTTTACCATGTACAGTAGTGCATTGTCAAGCATGAAATCGGCGTTGACGAGCGGCCTAGGCTCCTCCACCGACGTTGGCACCGCGGTCCTACCGAGGCTCCCGGTCAGCGCGTTGTCGCAACTTTTCAGCAGCGACGGGTATCATACCTAACAACCGTTCGTAGAATTCGGAAGGAACGTGGTCGTGTCGCGGTCGAGCTAACGACACTGAACATTTCCCTCCGAAGGGCACCACGCGACAGAATCGAATCACAAATGGTCCCACAATGCGCTGTGTGACGCACTCTCGGGGCGCGCGCAGACGATAGTGGGACGGAGGGAGTCAACCGAAGGCCACCGTTCGGGGGGGTTCTCGAAGCCCGAGTAGAGTGTCTCATACAGGTAGGAAGATGTTGGCCCGCGGGGGGGAAATGACGCATGACTCCCACCTATCCCTCTCTCGAATCTGTCGTTCACCGGTGAGGTTAACACGGACCTACTGTAGCGGTCGAACTCGCAGCCATGCATTCGGCGATGAGCATGCGAAACACCATCGGTTGTACACGCCGCCCCCCGTCCTCAAATTTCACTCGCTGACTCCGATGCTGGCGCCTAGCCTGAACTTGTATCGGGCCAGTTCCATCGCTCTCTCTGTTGCGATGTGTGACCCCGTGACGAAACGTCTTCCGGCGGCGACGTTCAGGCACCTCCGGCCGTTTCGCCGACGCCGCGGTTGTGTACGTCATGCCCCTCTCCTACGCGGTTTCTATCGTCGAGGGCAACGCCGACACAACACTTGTTTTCGTCAGTACCGAAGCAGTGCATGTCGTTGCGGAGTTAATCATGGTTTTATGCCCATCGTAGTTCAAGCGGTTGAAAGCCTCCGAACGTGCCCTTGCATGTTGCACCTGCCTTCTGCCAGAGTTGCTCTCGCCTTCTCGCCGGACTATGTCTTGCTTTGCATCACCCTCTGTGTCGTCAGCTGGGAGGGGGAGGTCAGGCTCGAAGGGTACGTTTTTCACACCTGACGCCACGTGGTTGCGAAAACAAACTCAAACATAACGCGTACAGCACATGGATGAATCTCGCTCATCCGGTGCTTGGTCAAGACTTGCATCCACGACTTAGTCTGCAAGGGACATGTGTCGTCGTATTGTTCCTCACACAATCATCGACGCAAATCGAAGCCGGTATAGAGTTTGTTTCCGGTCCTCGAATCCTTAACCTACATGACGATGAGCGGTCCACCATGCCGCACATCGCAATGCTTCAAATGGGATTCACACCTCGACCACCAGTATTTTTCTCAGGAACGCCAGCCTACGCAGCCGGCTGAGGCGACTTGATGGCTTGATTCGGATGATCTTCTCCAATCTGCTCTGCAATGTCTCCCCCGACAAGTTGTCGAGGACCGGGAGCAAGAGGTCTGGACAGAGTAGGATCTTCTTGAACCCGAGATCTTTATGCCGGAAGCTCGACTGCAGCTCCAACTCGATAGTTCTTTCGAGGATCCGGAACGGGAACCTACAGGACAAGACACAATGGTTGGCGAGAAAAAGAGGAGCAACGGGACGCTCTGCTCACCTCACGAGGCCAACGCTAACGTTTCTCCTGATAATCTTCCAGCTAGGCGGTTCATGCAACCTGTAAAATACGAAGAGGCAGCACTTCGAATCCAGGGGGCTGAACTAGGATACCCATGTTCGAATATCGGACCCTTGCTGATCGACAGATGAAGCCGATGTGATAGTTGGTAGTGTGGAACACCATCAGACGGTGAGTTGTATGACTCGCAGGGGGGGGGGGGGAGGGGGGCATTCAACGGAAGAGCCAGCGAGGCAGAGCCAGCGAGTTTCAAACAGCAGCTGCATTACCGTAATCCGTGCCCCTTGCTGCCGCTCAAGTACCACACCCAAATGTTGCATCATATATAAAGAAACCTTATGACCGAATCTCGATGATTTTCATTAAACCGAAATTCACTCTACCGATGAGTGCAGTTAGTATTGAGAACCCGTTCGCTTTATTAGATTTTCCGTCTTTTCACGTTGCGCGCCCCGTTGCAATCCTTCGAACATGCCGTGCGGAACATCACCGGGACACTTCACTACCAGCTCCTGGGAGTTGCCGCAGGCTTTGCTGCAGTCTTCACGACAGCGAGGCTTGCGTTTTGAGGTATTGTGATACAAGCATGATTTGGCCCACCGGATGAGAGGTCAGTATCAAACGCGGGTGTCACCGCCGGTAGCACTTTCGGTGTTCTGTCCACCGTCTATTGGGGGGATTGACATTAGACCGTGGTTCGGAGTATGCATACGAACAACAGAATAGGGGAAGAGAGGAACGCCTCTGCTCCTTGCCTTTTCCCTCGTTGATGTTTCCTCTTCATATGCCCAACACCGACAACGTTCCCTGCACCCACAAGGAAATATGGTGGAGGGCAAGGCAGCTATGGTATGCCTTTACGATGCCGATATCGACGGAAAATCATGCGATTTCATCCAGGTGCTACCTCGTAGACTATAATAAGAAGGATTTTCGACGGTCATCGGAGGCTGCCGGGTTGCAAACAAACATGTTTCAACAAGGCAATATGTGTAGTCGGCTCTGCCATCGCGCCACCTTGGCTGTAATGCCTGTTATCGAAATCGCTGAAGAAAATCCGCTCCTACTTGCGTCCTGACGCATTGGAAACTGTTGGGATATCACAAGAAATTCCTCCAGGCAGAAATATTGAGTATCTCAAACAGGGAGAAAACAAAACACCTTCGCCCGAAAAAAAGGCAATACACGTGAAGAAGGTCTACAATCATGCGTAGTTCGAAATCACCGTCAACGAGCGAATGGCAGCTGAATCCTTCAAAATAACAATACTGGTGAGTATTTCGCCGAAGGCTAGGGGCTAATCGTGCAATAGGGCGGTGTTTCCACTTACCCTTAGCATCAAACGTTGAGAGTCGGTTGAATGTTTGCACAATTAGGGTGTGCATCAGGTAGGCTTGTAACGTTGTAACGGAGACCCAAGAATGTCCGAGTCCAAAATAAAGCCTTTTGAATACAGTGGCCGAGTGGGCGTCAATTATTCGATGCATACGGTGGGCTGATGTCATGACGTTTTGCACCCCACAAGCCCTGCAGCACCAGTCAGGGTGTCGACACAACGGGACAGGAGAACGTGCGTATGTACTATGTTGTAGGAGGGGCACCCCGAAGGCCGCACAGTAATAAGTGTCATGATAAGGTGAACGGCGAGGAAAAAGATCCAAATATTTTGTTAGAACCACAACATTGAGTCGAAATCAACGGACTCAGCTCCAGGATGTCTCGTGTTCCTGGACGCAAACCAAAACTTCGAAGCCCGAGCCCTAAAGCGTGGGCGCGCATCGCAGTCCGTACCTGGAGAAAAAAACGCCTTGTCGTCTTCACATTGCAACTAGGAGCCGTCAGAAATAATGATCCACGAACCAAACATCCTACAAGTACGCCAACGCCGCACATGGTCACAGGTGAAGCACCCTCCGAAAACCCAGTCCTCGTTTACATCCCTAGTGAGTGGCACATGGAAAAAGGGAAACAACCGACAAACAACCGACCAAGAGGAATCGCAACTAAAAACAATATATATATGCGAGGAAGACTTTACCCGCTACGTTTACCAGCACCGGGTTGTATTTATCTAACATGACACACACAGACCATTTGAGAGATGGAAAGCAACGACAAGAAAAGCGAAGACACTGCCCACCCGGCATGCATAATCCGTAGAGTTTTGGAACAACTCGGACCAAAATATCGAAACACCAGTTAATTCCTGTCGTTGTTGTTGTTGTTGTTGTTGTTGTTGTTGTTGTACTCACATTAAATACCATTCCGTTCTCTCTGCCCAGTACCTTCATCTGTCCGTAACAGTCCAACACTTGACGGGGTCGATTCCCGTGGTCACAGGCTAACTTACCCAAAAAAGGTGTACGAAAATAAAAAGGACCCGATGGGTCCGCAAGACAATAGAAGTCAACGACAGACAGTCTAGGCCACTCCGCTCGCCTCTACACGCCATGCGAGGTAACCCTATATCGGAGAAAAAAAAAGACACAGGAAAAGAAACAGGAAAAAGGAAAAATAAAAAGAAGAAAAAGCAGTGCACCCGAAAAATAACAATATAGTAGTGAAGTATATAGACTAACCCGGAAACGTCTTGCCGCTCACGAGTAAACCTTAGTTCAACAGGCCTGAGTTTAGACCTACGCCCCCCCCCGCTCCTCCGAACCCCTAGAATACCGAAGGTAATACACGTCCTCCGGCACACACTTACTGATATACCGAAAAAAATAAAAGAAGAACTAAAACATGTGGGCAAAAAAAGCATCTCGGACCTACGACGTACAGTACCATGCGCACCCTCCCCTCAAGGTAAGCAACCCTCCCGCCAACGCTCTCACGGACACACCGGCACCAGCCCGCACCCCCGCCAAACATCATACTCCCAACCCCCGTGGCAATGACAAACACCGTAACCCCCTCCAAATTTGTTCGTCCGTTGACTCCCCGCCCCTTCCCTATGCCCGATAAGAACCTTAACCCTTTACGCCTACAATCGGCGCCAATGCCTAAAAGAAAACGCAACAGCATTCCCATAGCTACTCGCCTTTCCCTACATACAAACAATCAGGCACCATCCCCTAACCTTGCTCTCCACGAGGAATACATCCACCAACCCACGCTTCCTGGCACGCGAAAGCAGCACGACATAGTCAGACCTACACCAAGGACAGGCAGACATCACCCGTCGTCGACTCCGGAGATCAAGGCCTCCAGTCGGGCAACGGTTTTTGGTATAGCTCGTGCTTGTTTTTTACTGCGGCCTGACTGCCGTAACCTTCCTTCGCAGCCAAAATCGAGTCCTGCCATATGTTTCTGAGCAGGAAAACTGATTTCTCCGCTGCCTCCATCTTCCCCCGATCCACGCCAGACGCACCACCGGCACTATCGGCGGCGCCTGGCTCGTCCTTCTGCCCGCGCCCGCCGAGGATCATTCCTACACCTTGTAGCATGGTGGCCGTGAACGCTTTGTCACGTGCGTCTCTCTCCTTCCTTGCCTCGAGCTGGAAACATTTCGGATCGAACTTCTCAGATTTCCTGCGGCGACCCTTACGCTTTGCTTCCACCACGTCTAGTAAGCTGTCGTCAGCCACGTCATGCAAGTCCCCGTCAGACATGCCGCCCTCTCCAACAGCCCCCCCTCGGCTGCGCAGTTCCTCTTCGTCCTCCGATTCCGAGGGGGCCCAGTCATCTCCGCCTACGTCCATCGGGGGATCCTCCTGGTCATCCTCCTCCACCGCCACCGGCGCTGCCTTCCGACGACTTTTCTTTTTTCCCTCGCCGATGTCTTCCCCCGCCGCGTCGTCGCCACCGGGCGCTTGGGATTCCCCGCTCGTGTCGCCACCTCCGTCGTTAACTCTAGCCATCTTGCGCCGTTTCCCCTTCCCCTTTCCTCGACCCTGACCACTGCTGGCGCCACCACCCGAGGCACCAGCCGCACCACCGGCATCTGCAGGCGCGACCTTAGGGTGCTTCCCGTTCTCAACATTGACAACCTCCCGCAGAAACTTCCGCTTGTTCGCAGCAGCGTTGCCGGAGAAGATGCGGGCCCTCAGCTGCTGGAATTTGTTGGGAGACCTCTGAATCCGGCCTCCTTCCGAGCCCGTGCCTTTCTTCTTCATGGCTGTGGTGTAATTCCCCTTCTGCGGTCCCTGAGGTGCTGCATCTCCACCCTCCCGCAGCGTTCATTCAGAAGAGATCCGTGGGTCTGCATGTAAGCCTTGTTCTTGGCCAGCTCGATCTTGACGTAATGCGTGACCCGAGAGTACCACTGTTCGTGGCCGTAGCCCTTGCCCCAACTGAACTCCTTCCCCAGTGACGATATGACGTTCGGGCAAGGCGATTCCAGCACGGAACAGAGCACACAGTGCAAAAGTTAGCATAAGATTAAAGTCGTCAGACCATACATAGAGTCACGCGAATCATTGTGCCAATGCGGACCTTAATCTGCTACCGCCGACAGTTCCGCCACATATTCGAGGATCCCAGTGCCTGTTGCAGATGTTGTGTGGAGGACTGGACAACCCACCTGTCCCTATTCCATATTGTTTCCTTCCAGTGTCTCTCTTTTCCTTGCTTGCTTTCATCCCTTCTTGATAGGGGTCGATGGTATCCCGACCAGTGTTTTTTCGTTTGGGTAAGAAATCGCACCTCGATTTAAGTTTGTAGACCATTAATTTATCTATTTATAGAAAGGTGTACGGCCCCTTGGTATAGGGTACGTGTCACCACAGAAGGCGTCCGCGGATCTTGGATCAGTGCGTACTAATGGCTACCCGGGACGTTTTCAAATGTACAGAAAGATTAAAGGGAGGGTCGTAGACATGGCATCAGGTTGCGCTCAAAAGACACGATCGAACCTTACCGTTGCACTGAGCCCGCAAAGCGTGCACCGAGTGCGATGAGTCACCCCGAATCCGCGACTGGGGTTCTTGCAAGTGGGCACAGGGCATTCAATGAGCTGCTACCCCTGTTATATCCGGCCAACTCTTACACCCATCTGGTGAGGGCATGAACATGGCCAAACTCCTGGGTCTCAATCGCGAACGAACATACCGCGTGAGAATGTCGGTTGCTGCATTTGTGCGTAATATAGTACAGTAGATCCGGTATGAATGTAAATGTACCTATTCACCGCAACATTGCGTAAGACCGTTCCGGGAAGGTATTCTGAGATGGCCGTAGCCCCAGGGGATACGTCAGAGGGAGTCTATTTCATCGGGAGTCGCACAGGTCGGAGAGACGGTATCGTGGAGCGAGAAGCAAGGCAAGAAAAAAATGATTCACCTTCGATGGCACCCGGTTTAATAATCCTTACGGCAATCTTTGAAACTCAAAAGAGCGACCCCGAAAAAAACTCACAAACCCGTTCGTAAGAACATAGCACAAGTTTTGCGTAGGCCCCAGCTACCCTCTAGTACCGAACTCACATAAATCCTGTCGCCCAAGCGCTGGAGGACAACCTGTGGGATGGCCTCCTTCGCCACAGTCTCATACTTCCAGGACTCCTGCAATCCCACACCACAGGCAAACAACGGTGTAATCTTAAAATGGAGCGAGGTGCATAGTAGCGAGACAAGCGCCAGGGTGTTGTAGGCACCACTGCTGCCTTCATGTGCGGCACGTGCAGCACAATCTCGTCAACATATCTCTGTGGTTTCCATCTGGTGGCATCTGAAAGCCAATCACCGCCGCGGGCCCGTCATCACAACGCCGCAGCATTAATGGCTACTGTGCCGGGGGGGGGAGTCCCTAAACCCTACAGTAGTAGGCCGGAGATGATAGGATCTTACAACCGGGACACCAAACGAAGGCTACAAGACGCTGCTGTTACCCTATCCACACTATGTATGAGGATCTGTTTGCAACAGATGTACGAACAAGCAAGAGGTGGCAAAGATGCCGCCGTGTGAACGGTTTAAGGAAAAATAAATACACATACAGATTGCACAGACTAACGCCAGAGAGTGGCAACCAGTTGTGATCCGAGACACAGCGGAGGTGAGTGTTGGTTCAAACCTTGAGAATTGTTAAACACTAAAATCAATTACTCAAAACAATACACCAGATCGGAGGTGATACAATGTATCGTTCAGAGCAGTATCCACGCAAGTAGTTTCCACATGCATGCATGTTTGGTATTGTACAGGGTACAGGACACATTTGTTTCAAATATAAAGCGCTCCAGAATTCAAAATTTAAACACACTGCTAAAATATCAGCCGCATATCTAGATCACCTATTCTAGACTACATACATATGATACAACGTAGAACCCATTCTCACCTTGTTCTGCTGGACTCCACCCTCTTCCTCTTCGGAGTCTCCCTCTTCACGGCCATCCGCGTTATCGTCTTCCTCAGCTTCTTCCTCCTCGACTAGGCCGGCTGTCTCGTCCTCCATGCGCGGGGCGCGCGCGGGTTGCTTGCCCTGAAGCGCTGCATCCGCAGAGTCCTCTTCCTCCACACGCAAGGGTGCCGCGGAGGAACCTCCATCCGACTCGTCTAGAACATCTTGGAGTGTGGCGATTCTCTGCTTGACTAACGGACGGGCGCCCCCCCCCGGCGCGTACATAGTGCCGGCTGCTGCTGCTGCTGCTGCTGCTGCTGCTGCTGCTGCTACTGGTAGTGGAGAAAGAGCCGTTTCCCTGCTTCGGGGCAACCCCGAGTCGCCCCGAGCAGGGCTACCATTTAGCGCACGATATCCACCCTGCGGCAGCGATGAGCCACGCAACACCCGACCTGATGCTGCCGGTGAAGCAGGGAGGGATCCCTTTTCACCGGAGAGCCCCGCATCATGGTCTTGCACGGTGGGGCCTTCCTGGACGCCCGGCGCATGTAGACCCAAAAGCGCGGCTGCAGCGACGCTCTCCTTGTCCCCGCCCGCAGCAGCTTTGCCCTTCCTCGGCGAAGTCCTCCTCCCATCCGCTCGCTGCTTCATCGGGGGGCTTATCTCCGAGCGCTGACTGCGTGGCGCCCGCGGACCGCGTGGAGCTGCGAGTAGGGCCGCGTGCGGGAGGGCGAGGTTGTGGACCTCTTTTCCACGTTTCTGTCTTTCACCACCATAGCGCGCAGAGGGAGTGGATGGAGCAGGAGTGGAGGACTCCAGAATAATATCTGTCGTTGATTCTATTGACGTTTGCGGACCCCTCGGGGCCAGTATATTTGAGTGTATCTTTTTATAGGGTAAGTTTACCTGTGACCACGGGAATCGACCGCGTCGAGTGTTGGATCAGTACGGACATACGAAGGTACTGGGTAGAGAGAGATCGGAACGGTTTTTAATTCAGGAATAATAAATACACACACAGGAAGACTACCCGTTCGGTTTTTAATGTGAAGACAACAACAACAACTGCTGTAACAAGACAAGGCGGTGAAACGCGGAAAGAAAGAATTTCGGAATCTCGGAAGGCGGAAACAAAAAAACACAGTGAAAGCTTGAATGGTTGAAATGAGAACAACAAGTTCGAGCGAGAGGGCGTACGATCTTTCGAGGTGTACTCCGTACATACTGAGTTTGATATATCAAAAAACCGATAGGCAGAGTGGTCCTCATGAGTCCAGAGATTTCAGAACGCAGAGGGTGTCGCGTCGCCCGCATAAAGGCCGTGCAACCTTCTGTATGCGTGATGCGTGATGCGTAATGCGTCATCACAAACACGCGGCGGAAATAAACTACATATATATTCCGCCGGAAATCTGTGGGCCCCAACTTGCTGTGGCCCGCCGGTGCTGCCACAACCATAGCATCTCCACGGTTGTCCCACTCTATACTGTACCATGGCGAGGGTGGTTTTGATCGTGAGCATGACCCTATCCTTGACGAAAACGATCTTGGTGAAGGATGCTGTCGGGCCGCGTCGCATACTAACCAAAAGCCTAGCGCGTCTCGGATCTCACGGTCAGTCGTCGTCAGGAGCCCAACGCAGCTCCACGCGCTCAGCCACAGGCCAACAGCAGCAGCGCCAAGGATCAGCCGCTGGGGCCAATGCGTCGAAAGTCAGGTGAGCTCCAGAGAGAGGCATAGAGATTTAGAAGTTAGATGTAGTGAACGAGGAAGCGAGAGAACGGGAGACAATCAAGAGAGAAGAGGGCGTCTGGCGCTCTGTCTGGTGTGCGGCAGAGGCGACGCACCCACAAGTGGGTGCCCGGGATGTCGGAGAACACGCATTGTTGAAATTGCATTGTGTGGCCCACAGCAGTGAAATCGCACTGACCCGCAGCAAGAGGCGCCCTAGACAGCGCCCGGGCCGATTATATAACGACGATGAAGTTTGCTTGTCATCGCGTCCAACCCCATTGTTAGGGGCAACGCCAAAGTAGAGCTGTTTTTTTACGAGATTACTGCTCGCACGATGGCTCTGACCTACACGCAACTGCAGCAGCCAACACCTATGGAGAGGGAGCCTGAAAACCTGTTGTTGTACAGGCTGGTTCACACTTACTTTTAGTACCAACTTTTGTCCACGTGGGCCCAAAAGAACAGCAAGTTTGATGTTGACTACTTTTGAAAACATACGCAAGAGCACCAGAAACTGTACAACAGACACACAAGACCAGTCGGAAGGCATCGCAAAAAACAGAAATCGTTGAATCCCGCACAGGGCGACAGTAGAGGCTGCTAAAAACATACATTTCACGCGTCTACCTCCGCACGCCGCCTTTGAAATCAAGATGAAAATTCGCCCTATTCTAATTTCAAGTCAAAAGAGCCAAAACGGCAGGCGTTCAAATAAGGTCTGTGTTGACAGGCACCTGGTAATTAGTACTGTCATCAGTAGAGGACACCATGAAGAGGCTTCGTGCGTGCGGGCACGTTCAGGTTTGCTACTGGAGCTGAAATATCGAAGGTTGCAGCAATATCTGAAAACAGTCCGAAATCTACGCCGGAACCAAGCGGCATCCAACATTTGTCACAGCCGTGCTCACCGCCACGGACCCCAATCTCCTGAACTGTGTGTTTACAGCACTGCAAGCTGCGTTGTCCGTGGCGGTGAGCGTTACAGTATGATAACA